AGTTTGATACCAGTTTGGCGGACTTATATTCTCACCAATATAGTTGAGGCTGCCAAATTCGGTGCAAAATATCAAGAAATTCATAGAATTTGCACAAACATTGTCTTTAGGATAAAAATTCTCAAGATATTAAATATGAAATAATATCTTAAGATGATGAAGTAATTATCTCTAATTGATTTAAATTGGGATTACTTACTTGATTGGAGTCAATCTTCAATTGGGGAATGTATTAAAGATAGGATTTGGGTAATTAATCCTTATCTTTAATGATTTGACTTTTCCTTGTCAAGGGCAAGTTAGTTGTGGGCAGTTGTATTTAGCTGCTAAGACCTTTAGAGTTGTGAGTTGTGCGTGAGAGTATCTAAGGAGCATGCCCATTTAATAAGGGCAATCTTGGCTTTCTTGAGCAAAAGTCCACGTGTCGCCTCTAGAATCTTTGGGATTATTTTAGGCTCCACAAATGTCCTCACACCTGCTGGTCTACACGTAGAAAAGAGCAGTAGATGTAAAAATCTAAAGTTGTATGAGCTTGTAGAGTTGTTTTGTCAATTTGAACTTGATCTCCTTCCTTGATTTGGAGATAAACTTCTTGTAGGAAAAGGAAACCAATTGCCCCCAATACCTATTTAATTTTGCCTGAAGCAAGGGATTAAATAAATTTGGAGAACAATCATCATTCCATCAAGGAAGAGAGAAGCCAGAGGAAAAAATTTTCCCCCTCCCCTAGCTTTTGTCCTCTCTTGCCCTTGCAAAGAGTCATCTCTCGTTGTTGTTCTTCTCATCCGTGCAGCACCAAGGTAAGAAAATTTTGAATTTTCTTCTTCTTGATTTTTTTTGGAGTCATGGGACTTGAAAAATTGGCTCGGCAAGGGCCGAGGAGGAGTGGTAGGGATGCCGCAGGCTGTTGTGCTACGGTGGTGGGGCGACAGAGTTTGGCTGGTGTCGTCATATGGGCCAAGTGCTTGGTTCGGCTCGAGTCTAGGTGATAGACGCGTTAGGCGTGGGGAGGCCAGTTTGGGCCAGGCCCCTATGGCTGCTGGGTATGGGCCTATGCAAGCGAGAGAAGAGAGAGCGGGAGAGACCGACATGGGCCGGCTTTTGTGTCCTAGTGGTCTGGGCCAAGAGGCCTGGGCTTTGCTAAAATGTGCTGGGTGCGAATGAAAAGAGGGGAAGAATACGCGAGCCTCCTTTTGTGCTGGGCTGAGCGGCGTGGGCCTCATGCATGAGTGACCAAGGGCCTTTGGGCCATGCTGCGAGAGAGAGGGGGAGAGAGAGAGAGAGAAAGAGAGAAAGAGAGAGAGAAAGAGAGATAGAGAGAGAGAGCCTGGTCTAGGCCATGAAGGCTGGCTTGCTGCTGGGCTTCTGCAGTTGGGCCTATGCTGAATGAAAGAGAGAATGAGAGCGAGCTGGGCTGTGGGGCCTGGTGCTAGGGCGCTGGGCTCTGCGGTCCTTTTTATTATTATTATTATTATTATTATTATTATTATTACTATTATTTTGTTTCTCTTCTCGCGAGCTACCTTCTAAATATTTTTCTTCGTACTTTTTTACAGAGATCTTGAGATGTCTTCATCTGATCTCAAAAGTGACGAATATCCTCCACCTTTGTACTGTCAAGGTGCTTATTCCAACAAGGTGGGCTACTTCAAGGCTGCACATGTAAAGATCAATTTCGATGAGATGTTTCGGGATTTTCTTGAGATGTACAAGCATGCGATTTTGTCAAGTGTTCGCGTCAAGCAAGTGAAAGACGATAACGGCCATGAACCGTGCGACGAGGGTGCCACTACTAGGAAGTGGGCTATCAAATTCCATCCATATTACTTCGTGTTAGGATTTACTTGTCTCATGCCGCGTCTTTTTCAGGAGCTAATCTACTCCATGAAATGCGCCTCTGCTCGGTGCTTCCTGAATGCAATTCGTGCAATTGTGAGGTTTTCAAACTTGAGCAGGTTTTTTTATCTTAGCTTGACCATAAATGAGTTATGGTACTTCTTTGAAAACGGCCACAAAGAAGGTGTGGGGCAACTGAGGTCTTGCCATAGGCCGCTTGATGCTTCCTGCAAAGGTGATCATGAGTGGGCGAGAGATACCTTGGAGGTAAGTAAAGAGTGAGAGTTTGACTCCTCTCTTAAGCGTATTTCGACTATCTTTATCAGTGGTAAGTGAACTGCTTCATTCCTGGATTGCTTGAATTTTTTGTTGAGCTACTCCATGACTTCAGTTTACTGATCGTCATTCTTACTTTGTGTAGATTCAAAATTTGGCTCAACTCCAAGAACTTTGGCGGATATGAAGAAAGTGCACATCACCTTAGACATTCCTGCTAAGTATTGTGAGTGTCGCTGGTTGTTTAGCCCTTTTTGTCGGGAGAAATAAAGGCTGCCTCCGAAGGAAAAGATAAAACAGATAAAGGACGAGGCGCTTACTCGTCTAATCGTTGCTATATAGCCTACTGCCAATGAGAGTGAAAAAAAGATATCTTCTTCACTTGCTTGTGAACCTTTGGCCGAGAATAAGCCAATGACTTTTTCTATTGCTCGCAGGGGCTTGTTAGCTGCTGAGAAGCTTGTCATCAATCTGACTTCTCCCAAAGGGATGAAAAAGACCATTAAGTCTGACCCTGTGAAACCTATTGCTCCGAAGGTAGCCGCGACCATTGTTGAGATGATTTCCCAAATGAAAGGTTCAATTGTGCCCCTAGTGTCCAGGTTTGTGTCGAAGCACACGTCGAGAGTTAAGTTCAGTTCGGCATCTAAGAGGCTCGCTGCTATGAAGAGCGGGAAGATGGATTATACTGCTAAGGTGGCGCCTGGGTCTACTCCTCATTCCATTGTGACTGATTCGTCTGCTGAGAAAATGAAGTCTGCTCGCACGGGCAGTTGTGAGGGATCCACCGAGTCTAAAACTGGGGAGTTTCCCAAGGTTTGTGCGCTGTTAAAGGCTGACTTGCTTGAGGATATTGATGCATGTGCAGGTTCATTGACAGTGTTGGGAAAGTTATCGTCCGCTCAAACTCTTTTTCGAAGCGTCTTGCCTACTCGAGGAGGTCCTTCCTGATCGCTACAATGTATACAACTTTAATCATGGCAGGTGAGTTTATACGCATTGATTAGGATGCTGTTAAGTGTGCTAGGGATGTCAAAGTGGCATTGCCATCTTAACTTCGCTCAGCTGCTGAAAAGATCGAGAAGCTCGAATCTGAGCTTGCAGTTTTGAAGGGGTCTAATGTCTCTGCCTTCACTTGTATGCAACTGAAGACCATTCATCAAGAGGTCGTCCATTTGAAGGCTAAGCTTAGTGTGACTTCGGGATGTTGGAAGCTGCAGAAAAAGAAGTCAGTTGTGTTGCACTAGTGGTCAAAGACCTTGAACGTGTTTATTCGGAGCTATGATCTTCTTGTTTCACCAAGGACGAAGAGTTTCTCTTCATGCATGCTGAAATATCTCATCTCAAGGATGTTGCCAGTATGCTTGAGTCCAAGAAAGTGGATTTGAAAGGTGCACTGTCTACTAGCGAGAACCTGAAAAAGGAACTGGGTAAGCTGCTGGATGCTCACACTAGGCTTGTAAGGAGAATATGCAGGTGAAGAATGTAAAGGTTGGTCACGAAGTTGCGCTTGCTTCTTGTCATGCTGATTTCTACAAGCTTGGTTATGTAGACCATCTTCAGGGCAGGCCATCAGATTATGAGTTTTCCGAGAAGGACTTCGAGACTTTCTCTAGTTGATCTACTTGACTTCTTATTTGAGGCTGCATTTGGTGGAGTAGTTGAGGGTCGGGCAATCCAGGTAGGGGTGGCTGAGGATGAGCTGATGGAAGCTTTGGCTACTGAGAGTGGTGTGGCTGTTGAATGCATGGCAGTCAAGGGACCATTGGTTGCACAAGCTGCTGATGAATAGTCTTTTTGCTTAGACTTAGGAATTTTCTTCTTTTCCTTTTCGTTCTGCTTTATTTGAACTTTGTTGGCCTTCGAGCCGATTTCAATTCGCTAGAAATTTAATAAATAGCTTTCCTTGCTTTGCTTTATCCTTCTATTTCGCCATGCAAAACTATATCGTATGACGAGTGGCTAGGTGAGTTGCTTCAATGAAGCAGTCGATTCCGCATCATCACTTAGGTTTTAATTTTGGCTTCGGGGCTTAAGGAGCTTTACTTGCAAGAGGAAAAAATGCAAAAGATTTCTAACTTATAGAGCCCGCAGCTGAACTCGTTGCCTCCGTAAGAAGCAGGCGAATTCGCGTAGCTGCTATAGTTGCAAATCTCAGCTTCAACGGCTTCACAAGCCGTAGCCCTCTCATGGCGTATTGCAAAACTTTTAATTTATAGAACATGTGGCCAGATACATGTTTTTCGTAGAAAGCAGATAAGTCTGCGTAGCTACTATAATTGTTTATTTTAGCTTTAACGGCTGCACGAGCTTTAGCCCTTCTGGGGCGTGTCGCAAAATTTTTAACTTATAGAGCCGGTGTCCGGACATGTGTTTCTCGTAGAAAGTAGAGGAAATCCACGTAGCTGCTATAGTCGTGAATCTTGGCTTTAGTGGCTACACGAGTTTTGGCCCTCTTGGAGCGTGTGGTGAAATTTTTAACTTATAAAGATGGCGGCTGGACACGCTCTTATCATAGAAAGTAGAGGAAATCCACATAGCTATTATAGTCGTACATTTCAGCTTTAGCTTTTACAAAACTTAAATTGTAGACCGTCGGCCGGAAGTGCTGCAGGTGTAAGTCTCAGCTTATAGATTGCCTTAGACTGCCAGCCATTGGGTCATCGGTCGAACATTTTACTTACAAAAGTAGACGACTCGCGTAACCACTTTAGGCGTCATCCCTAGCTCTCAGAGGCGTTTTAGGCTTGAGGTGTAGGTGAAATCGAGCCTCAGTGGCCATATGCTTCCGAGGGCAGCAATTGTAAGTTGCACGCAACTCAATACGGATCCCTAGGGCAGCAATTGTAACTTGATTCCGCAGGTCGCTTAACTAGTATTGCAACACTTTAGAGCCAAGCTACGTTCATGATGACCTTTTCGCGATATTCCTCTACCAAATCTATATTTATGACCATCTCATTCTTGTTCTTCTTGAAATTTGGCAGTACAGTGATGATGTTTGGCACCATAACGTTAGGAGGAATGATCGCCTCAGAGCCATACACCAGGGAGAATAGAGTTTCACCAGTTGCTCGTCTCTTGGTGGTGCGATATACCCATAGAACACTAGGGAACTCCTCTGGCCACTTACCCTTCTTGTTTGAGAATGACTTCTTGAGGCAGTCTAGGATGGTCTTATTGGACGCCTCGGCCTGCCCATTACCTTGCGGATATTGGGGCGTGGACATATGCTGCTTGATGCCATATTTTTTGAAGAACCTCGCCAAGTCTTTGCCCACAAACTGCTAAACAATGTATGTGACGATAGAGTAAGGGATGCTGAAGCGGCATATGATGTTCTTCCATATGAAGTGCTCTATGTCCGTTTAGGTAGTTGTAGTCATGGGTTCGGCTTCGACCTATTTTGTGAAGTAGTCGGTCACTACAATCATCAAGCCTCTGCCCCCATTGGCAGGCAACATTGGTCCCACTAGGTTAATCGCCCATTGCATGAATGGCCAAAGGCTTCTCTACAGGTGGAGTTCACTGGCATGTAGTGCAGGCACGAGCTTGAAGCGTTGGCAGCTGTCGCACATTTGTACATACTCATTGCGTCTTGATGTATGGTTGGCCAATAGTAGCCTGTGTTAAGAGCTTTTTACGCCAGGAAACGGCCTCCAGAGTGGTTTCCACAGACACCTTCATTGATTGAGCTAAGAATCTTCACGTAGTCGGGAGACGATAGGTAGTGGAGATTTGGTCCTAAGAATGATCTACGAACGAACAAGCCATTCCACATATAGTAGCGTGCTGCCTTTATCTAGAGTTTCCTAGACTCCAGTCTGTCTGCGAAAAGCGTTTCGTTAACTATGTAGTCAATGATAGGATCTTACCAACTCGGAGTTATGTTGATTTGCACTATCTCGACTGCTGGTCCCTCATCTATGCTCGGCTTTTCCAAGTACTCAACTGGGATGAAGCGCCTAAGCTGATGGTCTAAGGCAAAGCCCAGGCCTGCTAGTGCATCTGTGTGGGCTTTTTCTGCCTGTGGAACCTGAGTGAGTGTGTATGCTTGGAATGTCGCTAGCTATTATCATACCTTCTCGAGGTATCGAGCCATCCTTGGATGCTTTGTTGAGTACTCCCTAAGGTTTGGTTAGTGATTAGCTGGGAATCAAAATAAATCACGAGCTTCTTCATCTCCAGGTCATTATCTAATTGGAGACCTGCTAGTAGGGCTTTATACTCTGCTTCGTTGTTTGACGCCATGAAGCTTTGAGTGATCGCCTGTTCGAGTATCGAGCCTTCTAAGTAGTGAGAACTTAGCCTGCTCCCGATCCTTGGTAGTTGAATGATCTGTCGATGTGCAAGCGCCATAAATCTCCTACAAGTGGGGCTTGTGTAGCTACGGTGTTCTCGGCTGCCTCTTAAGTTGTTGTGCTTGTCAGAATGTTCGCCAGTTTTCGCTCCTTTAATGTCGGGCATTTGGATTGTACGAAATATCACGTCATGAAGATGACTGCGTACGTCTAAAAGTACGACTTAACCTTCCGGGTTGTAACAACTAGCGCCAAAATCAAAGTTTTGATTTTCAAGTATTTGGTTTTCGCATCAATAAGAGTTTTTAAACTGTGGAATACAGGTAGTCGAGCCTCTAGCTCTTCTCGTATGAGGGTAGAGTTTATTGTTGCTTCAGATTGCCATATGGATGCATAAATCCTCCACTGCTTCTTGCTTGGATAGCAGGAGAAGTGATGTTAGGTACTTCTTTAAGTCCTATAATGTTTTCTCACGCTTTGTCTTTCCATTTGTCTCGATATGCGTCCTGATTGCCTTGAAAAAAGTTTGCATCCATCAGTAGATCGCGAGAGGAATCGGCTGAGTGCAGCTACTCGTCAGGTTAGACCTTAGATCTTCTTCAAAGTGGTGAGGGACTTCATATCCAGGATTACAGATCTTCTTTGGATATGCATTCAGCATGGTCTGACCGCTGTTTAGGGTCAAGGAAGATGTGTTCGACGTCTTCTTCGGGTTTCCATCCTGATTCATCTGCTAGGGCATTGTCGACCTTGAAGTCATTTTTTTGACCCGCCTATTGTGATTGCTATTTAGTGGATGTACAATCGTCTTTCTGCACTTCAGCTGCTACTATTGGGGCAAAAGACTTTTTCTTCGTCTCATTGACAACTTGTACAGTGCATCGCCGAGACATGGCCTATTCATCATTGATCTCTCCGACTGCTTATCACGAGATGCGAAATCAAATCTTTTGATACTCGATTAAGGTCATAACTTCAACCTCCACTTGCCAAAGTCGACCCAATATCCCGTTATGGGGAGATTGGTCGTTGACGATCACGAAGGTCTGCGATGAGACAATTGAAGGGCTGGTTACGTTGAGCGTGATTGTGCCAATGACAGTTGAGGTATGTCCATTGAATCTGGTCAAGACCTCTGTCTTGCGTTTGATCGCCCTTTCTAGGCCTATCTTCTGGATAACTAACAGTTGTAAGATAATGACTTTGCTGCCGTTGTCCACCATATTTTATCAATGATGGCGTGGGCCAGTTAAGCAGAAATCACCAAGGCGTCACCGTGGGGAAAGTTTATTCCCTCTAAAGGTGGGCGCAAGTGCGGTTTTAAGTGAAACCAAAACCAAAACCATAAGTTTTTGCAGTTTGGTTCGATGCGGTTTTGAGGCTAAAACTGAAATGAAACCAAACCATTTGGTTCGGTTCGGTTTGGTTTTAAACGGTTTTGGTTCAGTTTCATTGTTTGAAAAAGCTATTATGGTTACCTAGTTGTATTTCATTTCATCCAATTCAATAAAAAAGGTTTGGTGTTTCAAAAAGCTATTATAGTTACCTAATGCATTATGACATTACGAAAAATAAATTGTTCATCCAATTCAATAAAAAAGTTTTGGTGTTTCAACTTACTTTGCGACTTGTAAAAAAGACCGGCACCAAAAATCACCAAGTGAAAGTAATTGTAATTTACCACTAACCTCATTGTCCGGTTGAATAAGCAGCTCGCCGATGAACTGGTAGACCGATCCAACTCGAAAGCTAAGCTCCCGAAGGTGCTTAGTGTCAATTTTTAATCTCTCACTTTCATCGACAATTGTGGCAATGGCTGTCTCTACAGAATAATCTTTTAACTTATGAACGAAGCAAAGGATACTAATTCATAAGCTGTGTAATGATATCGAAGAATAAATATAAGAAATGCACTCAGTTTATATTGTCTACTTCATGCACATCATGCTACCAATATGCCATGTTCGTCATCCTTAATAAACCAACCAGAGATGCCACATTCGCCTCAAGAATATCTTCTTGGACAGTTGTGCATCCTTGCCAACACACTACCATCTTGATGGTCATCTAACTATATCAAAATCATACCATAATTGTTCCGAGCAATGTTGTCACAGACTCACAGCACCGAAAATGTTAAAACTATGTATCTACATACTCCGTATGATATACTCCACCTCTATTCATCTTTCTTTTCTTCCCCAAGGAGAAGAACTCCCCTGTAACGGGGTGTATATCCTCATGTTCATCTAGCTTTCATCACGTGGCATAATGCATTGAGAGCTATAATAACATGGGAATATGGACCGCGTAAGAGGCAAGTTTTCCTCGTCTGCAAGACCAAAAGAACCAGCGTTAGCTATAAATTACTTGTACCCTATTAAGCCACTATAAGTAGAGTTATGAGATTTATGATATCAAATAATTGAGTCTACACGTTTTGAACCTACCAATCTTAAAACTATGAAAATTTCGGAACTGGAAGTCTGAATAAAACTCAAGGATTTAATTTGTTACAAATGATTGGAAAGCAAATAAAAGAGGAACATAATCAATATTATGATGTGGTTGAGTCCATACTAAATGTATGGACTCAATGAAATAACCAATTAGAATTTAACATTTAATAAAGTCAAGCGGTTTCAGTTTCAGTGCGGTTTTCAAATGACAAAACCGAAACCAAACTGTTTCCTACGTTGCGGTTCGGTTTCAAAACTGAAACCGTTTCAAAACCGTAAAACCATATCGTTCGGTGCGGTTTGATTTGGCTCGTGTTTCAGTTTTGATTTTCGGTTCCAAATGCCTACCCCTAACTCCCTCAACGTCCTGCTCGGTGAAGCCGGCGATTGGTCCAAGTACAACATATATGGCTTGAACTTGAAAAACCGATCTCTTATGTTGGATGTTCCTTTTCTTAGAGCTATTAGTGGCCCCCAGATGCTAGGATTCGGTAAAGATGTCTGGCCCATCTTGGAAATGTCTCCCCTCATGTGTTACGACATCTTGAACCACGGCTTGTCCTTGAGGTCGCGAAAGATCTGGTTGATCGGGATCAAGAACTTGGTGTACGTCTTAGGTGTTATGCCTCATTTCGTCGGGGATCGATCGCTGCATCTACTTCCTAGTCTGTCCTTGTTATTGAGCGGTTTATCACCGACCTTCTTTTGAGTTGGCTTTGCGTCTTTGCGGGGCTGCTCAGGCGACTTCTAAGAGCGCTTGGCCTCATCCTAAAGGGTGTGATTTTCTGCCAAAGCATAAGAGTCTGCCAAGGTCAAGTTTTCGCCCATGATCAATTCTTCGAAAAGTAGGTGATCAGCTGGGAGCTCTTTTCGGAAGGCTGAGCATGTAATGCTGTCATCGCATCAGAAGATCTTCGCCTTCTCCGCCTAGAACCTCTTGACGTATGTGCGGAGTAACTCATTCGGGTCATTCTTCATGTTAAAGAGGTGGTCAAACTTCTTTATGATCGAGCAGTATGATGAATATTCCGTAGTGAAAACCAAGGAAAGTTCGCTAAAGTTCCAGATTGAACGTGGTGGAAAGGTGTGGAACTAGTCTTATGCTTCACCTTGGAGTGTCGTGGCAAAGATTTTGCACATAAGAATGTCAATGTTGCAGGAAAGGGTCAAAGTGCTTTAGTAGTGCATCAAGTGTCTGTCTGGATCTTCATCTTCTTTAAACAAGGTGAAGTGCGGTAGGTTGAACTTCCGCAGTGGCTCCATTTACTCGATCTCTTCCGTAAACGGTGACCTGCTCATGTTGGCCATGTCTCTACGAAGAGTATCATCCGTAGTACCAATGCACTTAAATTCGCGCAGTTGCTCTGCTACGAGCCTTTATACTTCCTCTTGGATTTGTGCCTAATAGAGTAGTGGAGCCTTCAGCTACCCCCAATTCTGACCTGCTGGTCCATGTTGTTCTTCGGCATGTCATGCTCGTTTGTGTTGCGGTCGCGGTGCACGTGGTTTGTTCTGCCCTGCTTGCCATCGCACTTGGCAGAGGCTGCTAGAGGAACTTTAGTTGAACTGCTCTCGTGCTCTCCTTGGTCCGTCATATGCCTGGGTACTCTGATGCCTCTCAAGAATATCTTCTTATGAGCCTAGTCTCGTGTGGACCCTTATCTTGGAACGTCTTGAGTGCTCGTCGGAATGTGGACCCAACCTCGAATACACATTGACTCGTTAGCCGAGTCAGGAATGAACTCTTCGTTGCGCATCTAGGCGGGAGAAGACGTTTTCCCGAGGGCCCAAGCGAGAGTGCACTTTACCCGAATGCATGATTCGTGACAGGTTGAGCGGTTATTTGCCGAAACGTCGCTGGAATGTGTCACGTTATTCTGCCCTTGTCCTACTTCGAGACATCTCATATGGGGCTCACTGCATTTAGATGCGCTCAAAGAGCTGGTTCACCAAGGTAGTTTGCTACGCGAGGGCGCTTGTTAAATTGGTGACCTACTAGGGCAGGTGGTGCTCGCAATTTGGATTGGAAAAATCTGGATAATGGGTGTCTCCATGTATGGTGGAAGTGTTGTGGACTGCAGGTACAAAGCTTGAGCCCGGAGTAGGCATTCTTAGAGAAAAGTGAGGTGAAAATAACCCTGGATCGATCGTGAGACCGATGGTCAAAATCTGGATCGCTGGAGGTCGCCTCGAGTTGGATTGGGTCGCGGGCCAGGTCGCTGAAGCGAGCCAACCCGCTGAAGCGAGCCAACCCGGCTGAATGGCTGGGCCATGCGTGTGGGCACGCTAGGCTCACACGTGTAGCAGCTGGCCTTGGGTGTGCACAGGATTGGGCCTTCCTGGCCATTGGGCTACCTCGTTGTGGCCTGCTGGCGAGTGGCTTGGGCTTAGGCCCATTGAGCTGCCTGGCTGGCAATAACTAGGCTTGCTGCTGCAATGGGCTGGGCCTCCTGCCCTAGGCCTGCTGTGGCAGCTGCCAAGTTCTGGGTCGCCTACCCGTGGGCCAAGGAGTGGACCTAGGCCTCCCGCCCAGGGTTTTGAGGGCTAGGGTGTTGTGAGGGCAGCAATGCAAATACTTGGGTCGTGGCCTTATGGCCTTGCAAGGTCACGACAACGGTGGTGGTGTGGTTCCGCTGCGGTGGGGCTTCTCCTGCTGTTGCGTTGTGCCTTGAGGATCACCGTCGTGGGGTTATGTCCTCATCTCCACTCTCCAGTCCAAATCCTTGTACGTACGGGGTTCCATTCATCGTTGTTTCTGAATTTCCTCCCATTGTATCCTTTCTTTAGGGACTGGTCAAGAAACCTTTTCTAGGAAAAATTAATTGATACGACGTGTGAGAAATTCAACGTAACAGAAAATTCAAGAAACAAATGCAAGAGGCTTCTTTGAGTATTTGAATCAGCTTTTAATGAAAGCACCAATTTGTCGATGCAAATTTCCACTGTCTTCAGTCTTGACGAAAATGTACTTGCAAAGCAATCAACACCTTTGATCAAAGACCTAAGCCTCACACGCCCATGAGGTGGGGGGGTTATGCCAATAGATCTTCAATGCCTAAGTTAGTTTCTCTGAGGAGAATACGTGTTAGGGCTTTTTTGGGGTAGCAAAAGCTTCTGAAATTTGGTAGAATATGGGATATATATAAGGGAGAGGGCCGGCCATAATGTTAGGGTTTTACCCTATGCATGGCAGCATCCTATTGGAGATAATGGAGTAAGTATCCCTAATTGATTTAAATTTGGATTACTTACTTGATTGAAGTCAATCTTCAATTGAGGAATGTATTAAAGATAGGATTTGGGTAATTAATCATTATCTTTAATGCTTTAACTTTTCCTTGCCAATAGTCCATTTAATGAGAGCAATCTTGTCTTTCTTAAACAAAAATTCACGTGTCGTCTCTAGAATTTTTAAAATTATTTCAGCCCCATACTCATATTATAGGATGTGAGACGGTGGCATTGCAGAAAGGATTGATACCTTTCGTATGTCTTGTCAAATATTGATCTTTCTAGAGGCCCAACCGGAAAGAAAAGTGAGAATAGGTCTAATGTTTCATTTATGTCACTATTTACATAGGACTTTTCTCTAATTGTACTATATTTGAGGTTGAGCTGCAATTTGCAAAGGAGGCCACAATGTTGACCTGTTTTTTTTGTCAATCTCTGAGTTGAGTTGCAGAGTTCCACACGTTATTGTTATTCTATTTGAATTTTGTGTATTAGAAATTCAAAAGTCATAAGGGAGGGTCAATAGTCCTATTTTCCAAACCATCCACAGGTCAAAAGTCCACCCTCGGACCAATTCCACGCACACCATTTATTCTCTAGAAACTTCACTTTCATGACATAAGAGTACACCATTAAATGATTTTTTTTGTATCAATAAAATAAAACATATGAAAGATTTTTCTTAGAATAAAGAATGATATACTACTACAAGTTAGTATATAAATTGTGAGATATTTATGTTAAAAATTAACTATTTACTAAAAAAACTATTCTCAACTTATAGATAATTGTACCATTACATGTGTTTCACGCACAACAAAAATACCTCCAAAATTTAAAATAAAATTACACATATTTTTGTTTTAATTAACACGAGATTGCCAATTTGGCGTTGTACCGCGTGGTTTAAGTCCTCCACTCTCATGCGCACTAGTTGCATAATTCAAACTTTAACGACCCATCTCTCCCACGGTCCCACCCATTAATTAATGCTATAATGCTAGTTGCTTGCTCCATTCCCACTATAAATATCCAACTCCACCTTCTTCTTCATCACTCAATCACAGCTTCAGAAATCAATCAAATGGCGGCCAGAAGCATAATATTAACCCTTTTTATTGTAGCCACGGGAGTCCTGTCCGGCTATGCAGACGCTCAGAACTGTGGCTGTGCCGCAGACCAGTGCTGTAGCCAATACGGCTACTGTGGCACAGACGATGCCTACTGCGGCACAGGCTGCAAGTCAGGGCCTTGCAAGACGCCGGCTCAAACACCGAGTACCAGCGATGTGGTGGTGGCGGATATTGTAACGCCCGAATTCTTCAACGGGATAATTGATCAGGCGGACGCAAGTTGTGCCGGCAAGAACTTTTACTCCCGAGCTACCTTCCTTGAAGCTCTCAATTCCTATACTCAGTTCGGTAGGATTGGTTCCATTGACGACTCTAAGCGCGAGATTGCTGCTTTCTTTGCCCATGTCACCCACGAGACTGGACGTAAGTTATATTTCCCCCCCCACTTTATTGTTTACACGTGCAAACCTACATATGTATGCTTATCAGCCGAACTCTTATATATATTTCATGCATGAAAGTAGATCTAACCACTCTAAAAGACATAATTAGCGGTAGCAATATGATTAATAAAGATCATCATTGCCAAAAATCGTCCAGATCGGAAAGTTGGAGGCTAGTTGATCTGTGTAAGAAGATTTAAAAATAAACGGTTGAATCATGAAAAAATAATGTAGAGTGGGTTTAAACGCGCGATTAAACGTAGCAACTTAACTGGTTATCGCTTGAAGGCTCGTGATATATATAATAATACAGTTTATTAGCTATTTTTATACATGCACCCAGAAAGAAAAGCTGGCAGATAATTGAACTCAATAATCAATGCTAAGTAATACTCGATGATGTATGATTGTGCAGATTTTTGCTACATAGAAGAGATAGATGGAGCCTCAAAAGACTACTGTGATGAGACCAACACACAATATCCATGCAACCCAAACAAAGGGTACTATGGGCGTGGACCTATCCAACTATCATGGAACTTCAACTACGGTCCGGCCGGAGAGAGCATTGGGTTTGATGGACTAAACTCTCCTGAAACCGTGGCCAACGACCCTGTCATTGCTTTCAAAACGGCGCTGTGGTACTGGATGAACAACGTTAGGCCGGTCATCGGTGAAGGTTTCGGTGCAACCATTCGAGCCATCAATGGTGCGCTTGAATGCGATGGTGGAAATCCTGCTACAGTTCAGAGACGTGTTGAGTATTACACAGAATATTGTAACCAACTTGGTGTTGCTCCTGGTGACAATCTCACCTGCTAGTTACTATATACTAGCTTAACTAGGATCCTAGGATCATTTTTCTCCTTTCATTCTTGTTTTCCTTTTGTCAAATAAAAATTTATGGACGACGTGAATAAATGAAAAACAGGATTATAATTTATAGATGAGCACTCATTTGAATTTATTTGTTTTTTATGCAAAGACCACTAATTAACGAACAAAAATTACCTTTCTTGAGACGGGCTGGACCGGTTAACCAAATGTGCCTTGCACTGATGCACTTGATGAGCACAACCAAAGAGCTTTGCTCTCCTAAGAAACAAAAGATACTCATGAACGGTGGAGATTTAATTAATTAAATAAGATTTGGTTAAATTTCAACAGCTCATTTGTGAAAATAATGTGCAAGGGAGAATCATGCCACAACCAAATGGGGGTAATAATATACATGCTAAAAACAAAAAACAAAAATCCTTGCATGTTAATGCTGGTGGGTTAGTGAATGCCCACAATGATACTGAAAACCATGATAGATTTTTCAATGCTCACACAGATTGGATTTTCAACATTGGCAGATTAATGAAAACATTGGCAGTGTTGAGATGTGGACTTTGGAAATGAAAGAGATCGTTTTTCAAAAGATGTATTGTAAATTTCAAACTGTAATAATACGGAGTTGCTCTATGAATAGCGCGCTCCGACTGCTGTTAAATGACAGAGAGATATATTGTGAAGAAATGAAAGATTAATACTTCAGTATCTATTCCTCCCTCTTTTATTTGTCATCCACTTGTGCTATAGTTTCAGTGTGATATTTTACACCTGCTTCGCTTCTGTCACTAGTAAAGGTTATCTCTCTAACTTTTACATATTTATAACACGTTATCAAAACGAGTTTCTAAACACCTAACCATTTCTCATTTCTCTTCGCTGAACGAAAGAAAGAAAAAAAAATGTTTCCTTTAAGGATTTTACTATTCATCTTCTTCATCTGCCTCAACTACACGATATACTCTCGCAACGAACTGTTTGCTTCATGCCTGCTTTTAGTTCTCAACCTAACAG